CCTTGGAGCTGCTCTCTATCCACTACAACGCTATCTACAACGCTGATGACTTCTCTCATCTTTCAGCTGGCTTCTATTCCCTTTTTTTCCCAGCGTTGCAACTCTGCTGCTGCAGACTTCTTTTAATTTTCCATTCTTTACTCTCCTTAAAATTATATTCCTGTCTGTCATCACAGATCCTGCCCTGTAATTCCTCATATTGTCTCACTGATCCTCGTTGGCTTGCTTATTCACCTCTCTTTCTCTTGCACATCCTTGTATCTCTGCTGGAAATCCTGTAGCCAGGCTTCATGATGCATCTGTGCTCTTCTGCCTTGGATGTTGTATCTTCCTGTTAAAACCACCTGCCTCTTCAGTTCACAACCCTGAATGGCTTTTTCTCATCTCCCCATATCATTTCCCTGTTTTTTTCCCTCTAGGACCATGCTATTGCTTCCAACTGATAACTGGAAGTATGTTACTGACTTCCACTCTTCTTTGTTTTTCTTTTACCACACAGCTGCTTCTCCTGACTCATTCAGTGCCATAACAGCATCCACACTTGTCCCACTAACCTTCCTTCATCTGAGCAGCCTTGCACTCATCCTGTCTTTTGTTCCTTTCCTTAGCTAATCTGGCTTCTCACTTTAAAACATACTTTACACCCTCTGATTTTAAAAAACTTTCCAACTCCCACTTTTCTGCCCTCGTTTCTGTGACTTTCCTACTCAACTCACCGAATGAAACCTGCTTTGGTTGCCCTGTGAAGTTTACTGCTTTGGGCATAGGGACTCAACATTGTACCTTCTCCTGGGTGTGGTACCTGACTGCATTAGTCTCTTGCACATCATTTTATGCTTCGACTTTATTTGTGGCAGAGCCCATCTTTTCATCTTGGGTTTGCAAAGAACTGAGCAGGACAGTGTTCCCTCCCTTGGCTGCAGCTCAAAGCAGCAGCAGGAGACAATAAATACTGACAGAATGATTAATTCAGTACTTCAGCATTGCCATCTTCTGGCTGTCTTTGATCATGGCATGCCACGTGACTAAAATGAAGTTCTGCTTTTGTTTCATCTGCTGCTGCTGAAGTGGAAAGTACTACTGTAAGCACAATATTTGAGAGTAATGGAAATGTCCAAAATCTTTATGTTATATTCCTTCCAAATTAAAGATGCATGCCTTTTGCTTTCTGTTTTGCTTTACAAAATGAAATATTGAGGTTGGTGGCTCAAGTACTGAGGAATCGGCATTCTAGGTTAAACTGTTATATACCATTAATTCATCTGCATTACCTGCATAATGTGCATGTTTTGGAATACACTTTGCTCCTGCCTAAGAAACACGCAGTACTTTAAGCATGTAGGTAGATGCAAAAGGGAAATAGAATAGTTCAGGAGTCATCTAACATTTGTGTGATACTTCTCCTGACAACTCTTCCAGACTCCACCTTATTTAGGAATGTTCTGAACCAGAGTGATTTCTCTATTTCAATAATCTTCACTGGGTACCTCCTGTTTCTCCTTGAACCCATATATACAGAGCCTTGTTGTATTTTTACTTTATTTTTTTGTCCCTTGCTATTTTACTTTTTCAAACTTTCACTTCTTTCATTCTTTGGTTTTATTTCGCTTCATTTCTATGAAATAATCAAGCTTGTTATAATTAGGCTTACTGACATATGATAAATACTGGATGGTAAAAACAACTTGCCATTTATACTTCCTCATGTGCTCCCATCCTAACAGTGGCAGGAATATTTGTAGTTACCTTCTTAATACAACAACTCCTCTTTGACAGTAGACTGGAAATCTATCTAGATGTGAGGTCAAATAGATTTTATACATAGATGTGTTTTAAGAAAGTTTTGTAAGGAAGAATAGATACAAATATCCAAAGGAATAAGTGTGTTCAGTGTTTCAGTAACTCAATTGTTTATCTAATTTACTGCCATATTACCCATAATTCTAGGAAATGCAGAAGTGGATTATGAGTTCAAGGATGGAGCACTAATTGAATTCTTAATTGAAATGACTCATCTAAGCAACACAGTGACCTGGACTGCCACCCTGAATGTAATAGTCTTCCCAAATCATATCCTGGCACAGGTGCCACACTAAAAGCTTGACTCTTGTCCACCTAAAAGACAGGTTATCTGCAGAGGAAGATTTGCTGTAAGGGGGTCACTATTTGCAAGTGAAATGCATTTTTGCTTATGACAAGGCAAGATGAATTGGTGATTTTGTCACTCATTTTGCATCAACTAAAATTTGTCACACTGGGAACAAATTGCTTAACTGAGGTATGGGCCTTACACAAGCCCCCCTTAGAGGCATGAATTTTTCTCATCCTGGCACTTACATAGAAAGAGAGATACAATTAGATGGACTAATCAAAATTTCTAATAATGATATGTAAGTTGAAAATATAAGTGTTCGATTATAATGACTGCAAGTTAAATAGGAGGTGAAATTTCACTCATTATTATGAAAACCTTTTTCCTTTATTGCATGTACTGACTGTTATTTTTTAGAGAGTATATTGATTGGGTGTTGCCTTATTAAAAAACAGCCTTTACACTAATGCTGTGTTTTTCATGCTTTAGACCTCTACATTCACTAAGGGAGTCTTACAAGCCTGGTCCTTTATTTTAGTGATTTATAATTGAACCGTAAACACTTACTTAGCAGTGAAATTCAGAGCAGGTAAGGCAAACAAGCAACAAAAAAATAGTTATATTATAATTTCTACTACTTACAAGTGACTAGAAGCTAGAACTTTTAACATGTTTTAAGTGTCTTACAAATAAACAGATTTGCATGTGACTACACTACCCATGTAACCTAGGGTCTACACATACTTGGAAAGTATGATCCACTAGCAGAAAATATACACAACACAGAAGTATAGCAAGACAGGATAGAATAACATTCCAAAACCCTTTTGTTCAAAATTTGCCATTTAGTTAAAAGGGTATTTAAAACAATTTTTGCCTGTCTTGCTTTTATTAATTTCTACCAGCTGGCAAATCTCTCTAAAAACCTAAAAATACCTGGTGCAAATAAATTGAATCTTTTTCTTAAGAAGATTAAGAAAGAGAAATTAAATTTTTATTGCTGTTCTTGAGAAGAACTTAATAGCCAGGAAATCAGAGTTCTCCTTAGTGTTTTGACACACCAGTATTGATTGTCCTCATTAGTCTGTCAAAGCTAATAAGGTGCACAAACACATCAAGTACACCCTCATCATACCCTTACTTTTAGAAAACTGCAGAAACAAGTACAAGCTTTGTTAAAGAGATAAACAAACAATTATCCATTACTTAGTAGTGTAAGTGATTAGTGTCTTAGATTTTTAAAAGGAAATCCTTTATGGCTGGAAAAAAGAGAGGACAAAACGTGGCCTAAAAGTATTACATAATGTACTTACATATCACTGGCAATGGAGGAGTTCCTGGACATGGACTTTGGAGAAAGGTCATAGTCACTGTCTGACCGGTACAGGAAAGACTCCCTACGTTGACTGTGGACAAAATTTGCCTGAAGAATTAGCCCTGATCCAGGGCTTGTCATGGGATCCAAGGGACTTCGCCCCGATGATGTACCATTGTCTACATCGAAACTGCAAAAAGAAAGGAGAAAAAATATTTATCCCCTGTTATAAGAATTTTGAAAGTAATAGACACTCTTCTGACAAATTTTCACTAGGTTATTTCTTCCTGATAAGAAGGAGGAAATAAAGGAGGAGGAAATAAAGACCTGGTCAAGTCTACTGGTAGGCAAAAACCAAGAAATACATCTTAAAATTGCTAATAACCAAAAAGAAGAAGTCTGAAGGAAAATAAATTTGGTAGAGAAAGACAACACCATTAGTAATACAGGAAGCTTTATGCTTCTCTTCATGTACAGTAATCATGAGCTCCACACCTAAGGAAACATGATGTTTCATTGTCTTCTTCCTCAGGCCCCAGCTCTCCTGAGCTGGACCCTCATTTTCTTTCGTCCCACTGTTGAGGCAATAGAGGGCTCCTTTGTTATCAAGTACTCAACCCTAGTATTTCATTGCTACCCAAGTATTTCAAGAACATATTCTGTCTTCTCCCAGTAAACAGAGTGATGGTTTGGGATTAAGGTGTTATGCATGTGCTTGGGCATGTCTGCACGTATTTAAGTTGCTATTTAGGTTGCTACCACCAGATCAAAGAAATGAGTTCTTAGCTCACTGCCTAGCAGTGTGACTTTTGAGACCATACACTATTTAAATCCAGCACTTCTAGCTATTTTATTTGGTCTTACAAGCAGTAAATAGGCTTATCATTCCTAGGGATCACTGCTGTCACAACAGGCTGAAGTGTGAGGGAAGAGAAAGAAAGACAAGTGAAGGGAAGATGCTCTTTCAGTCTGTGACATTTCCACAACGGGCTTTGAAAATCGGTGCAAAGACCTTGAATGGGAGTCCACAAGCAATTGGAGTGGGGTGAGCAGTGCTGGGAGGATGTGCTCATGGCAACCCATGTTGCTTAGCAGCCTGGCAGCTGCATTTGGTACCGTATGGAGTCTTTTTGGAGCACGTGGCTCCATTTTTAGACAATGTGTTGTGGTATGCAACCTCAGAGACCATAAATGTGTGGATTAGCAGGATTAAGTCTATTAAGAAGTGGAAGATGGCTTTTGTTTCCCTAGTTGGTTGCATCTCTAAATCCAAAGATTGGTTTTATTTTTACTGGATAGTAGGAAAGGTGAGCATGAGACCTTGGCTTGTAACTACTTGGGCTCATTTGCCACACTAATGGGAACTTAAATAATAACTGCTAAATCATTCAGGAATGAGGGATGAATAGAGAAACTTTCACATAATTTTTTTAACATCGGTGTTAGGATCATAGTACATATTTGTAATGAACACATCTCAAGTACCCATTTAGGAAACAGTGTTCACATGAAGGACACCCACCCGTTTTCAATTGCACCTAATGACAGCAGAAGAGAAAATATTCAGTACATGTCAGCTGTTGATTAGATTTCAGCCTGGCGCAGGTGTCACAGCAGGTACATGCTGCTCTCTGCGCTAGCTTGTTTCTTACTGTTATCTACCACTGACATGAGGTTGCAGTGAGGTTTCCACTTTAATGTTTCACCAGAGTGACAGCATTCCCATGGCCTGCTTTCCTTTGTTAAGTCAACTAATCAAAGAAACATATATTGCCTATTTTGACAGAGATGCACATTGCCTGGCAGGGAATGGACCTTGGCTTCAGGTTTTATTTCACTGTTTCATTCTTACTTTCCTCATATTCCTAGAATTGCAAGCTTTCTGCTGCTCTCTGTTATTTATTTTTTTACTAACCTTTTACAGTTTGAATGCAGAGAAGCAAAATGTTGGGGTTTTTTTGATTCTTCAAAAAAAAACATATTCAGAAAATGGTATTAAACAAACTTCAAGAGAGCTTAGAAATTTAATCCTCTTTTCACTGTAGTTCTCAGAACAGTTCACTGTCAGTAAATCCTAACACATATAAGTCTTCCCAAGTTTTATTTCTTTTGATTATGCTCAAATACTCTTCCTGTGTCCTCAGATGTGCTACTACTACATGACATTATCAATCTCAAGCTAACAAAGTTTAATCTCTAAGACATCAAATGAGAGTTTTGCCACCAGCCTGCGGGGTGATCTTAGACAACACAAAGATCCTCTTCACATTTCATTTTCCCTGTTCATAGAATCATAGAATCACAGAATGGTTTGGGTTGGAAGGGACCTTAAAGACCATCTAGTTC